CCCCCCGCCACTTGTAAGCCATAGCATCTGAAGCTATAGCTTATCAAGTTTGATTCTAAAACACACAGTAACAACTGAACAATGTTGCTTATATGCTTCTTTGACATCATGAAAAGGAAACTCCTAGAAGGATTGTCTTAACACCTTGGCTGAACTGTGATGCACAAGATTTTCCTGTGTGCTTGGTGGAAACATACCTGGTTAGTGCATTCATGCTACACAGATGATAAGCTCAGAGCTAATGGTTTAAAAGAATGTAAGCTCGTTGTTTAAAGTTTTTCCTTTTTAGATGGAGAAGGCAAAGCACAGGCTTATAACTTAGAAGTATATGAAGTTTTGACAGAGTGTGTTTAGTAAACTGAAACATGTTCCAAAATGTGGCAGTTTTGCAATCAGGTGAAAATCACTTCATGATAGAGATTCAGCTGATGAGGTTTATAAAATTGCCCCTTTCTAGCTGCTCTGTTCGGAATTCTGGTTTTTGATACTTTTTTCCTGTCTGCAAACCAGAATTTGATTTTTTGGTCTTGCATTTCAAAAAAAAAAAAAAAAAAAAAAGACTTTGAATCTGTTTAGTAGATTCCATATCCTTGCATTTCAGTGTTTTATATGTACTACTTAAGTTAAATAGTTAAAAGCTTTTAAATAGTTGAGCTTTTTAATGTTGACACTTTATTTTGTACCTATTTATATATGTATGTATATCTTAGAAAAGCACTTTGTTAAAAAAAAAAATTGCATTTTATATGATTCCTGCCATTTGCTGCTAAATCTGGGCTGGTCAGAATGCTGCAGCGATACTTGATCTAAATAAAAACCTGGCAGTAAAATGTAGAGTGAAAGTTAAATCCTCTTGCTGTTTTAACTTTATCATAAAGATGACATAGGCAAGCTGTGCAGCTTTACATTTTAACCAGGGGACTCTGTGGCATTTAAAACCGTCTAGAAATGGTTGTACTTTAATGCCAGTAATAATCTGCTTCCTCTATTGTCATTAAAATATATGCGTTTAGTGTATCACACAAACAAATCTTATAAGGGTAACGTAAAAACCCCAACAATTGTACATGTTCTGTTTTTGAAATTTGTGGCATGTATTTTTGGGTGAAGATCATTAGAGAAGAGCTCTCTAAAGGTTTTCTGTGTTCATACATGGTATACAGATAGCTCATAATGAAGTCCAGAATTTTACTTTAAGTGAAGGCATTGTGAATTCACCTCAAATAAACCCATTGTTCCAAAAGCAATTATAAACTTTGACTCTAGTACTACTATGATTTAAAAAAAATACAAAAAACGTTCTTCCTCATTTCAGATACACTGGATTCTTTATAGAGTTTGTCTCCATATGAAAGCATGCTGTCCAGTTGTTCTTGTTAAGATCTTGTCTGAGTTTTGAATTGGGTGCCACACTTTTTCAGTCAATATGATTGCTTGTTCTACTGTACCATGTATGATTCTTGTCCTTTCCTATATCCTTCATGACAGATTATGATGTGGCTTTATATTGTGCCTTACTTGTACATTTAAACTTAACGTCTTCATTCCCTTCCACTTGCTAAATCTTTCACTTTGACCTTTTTGGTAAGAGAATCAGAGCAATTATAAAAACATCATGAAGGATTTCAGATGGGTATGGTTTCCAGTTCCCTCTCTTTATAGTTATTTTATATTTGTATGAAAGACCAGTTTTGAATGGTCTTTAAATACGAGAGGGAAAGACTAGCAGTAATTTCACTACATCCCTTGTTTCTGACTTTCATGAATTTGTCCTACATCTTCTTTCTGATGCTTGACTTGATTTGCTCCTTAGCAATAGTCTGCATTTAAAGAAAGGTGTGTTCAGTTCGTCAGCTTGAAATTGACTATTTCATCTTTCCAGAATTTTTTAGGAGAAGAATACTCGTTTTGTTTGTTTTATAAAACAGATGACAAGTCTCTTTAAAAGAAACAGAAGTACAGTACTTTTGAAATACAATGCTGTTAGTTTGGATTTCTTTTTTTTATATATAATATTCATACAATTATCTGATGTTTGCCTTCATTAATAAAGCTGTTAGTTTATTCACCAAAATGTCAAGAATGGATGTGCTTTTCTTTATTCCATACATTTAAAAATATTTTAGCTGCTAAGATTTAGTTAACTTTCTAAGAAACAAATTCAAGTTGCCTTCAGCAGGAATTAACAAAAGCTTATGTTCCCTTTCTTTATATAGTCTTCCTACAATTCTGTTCAAGTATTTTCTAATTAATTATGTAAGAGAATGTTAGCATCTCTCCAAATCTTGAAACTTGAATTTTGAGAATGCGTTGAATTATGCTTTCAGTGTTAAAGTAAAAGGTTTCAATTATCCTTCTAGTGAAGTCTATTGTGGAATACCATTTCCCATGGAACTGAGGCCATTTCCACAACTTTGCACAGAATTGCAGTCTTGTTCTTCCCTTGGATCATGACAAATAAGTCTCACACAGTGCCGTAATACTTGTGGATTCTTTTGTAATCTTTGTAATCTTAATAAGGGCATTATGAGAAGATGACTCCATGTTTTTTTAATATTTCAAACACATTGGGATGTAACAATGAATGTCAACTGTAGGAATGGTTGTTTCGTTTTAAGGAATAAGCATGTTGGGGAAAGATGATGAAAATGTACTACTGACAGTTTTACACTTCCATAGGCAAGTGGGATTATGTGTTGAAGCATAATCCTCATGCTTAGTAAACTGACCGAAAATTGTAGAAATTACACCTAGGAACTGAATTATGCCAAATTGCCATTTTTCTTTAGAAAAGAGAGGTTAGGGTGTAGTAGTGAGGGAGTAGAACCTTAAAACTACTTCCAAATAGTATTTTGGAATTGAAGACTTGGTGACTAGAGAAGAACATCAGAGTTGGGTATTTCAGTGTGCCAAGTTTGGGTGAACTAGGTTTGCCTCTTTCATAACAATGTAAACACAATGGTGTAGTTAATTAAATTCTGGGTGGATGGGAGCGGGACTGATTACTGTGTCTTGCCCTTCGCCCTTTGTTTTTTTCGGAACCAAATAACAGAAATGTGTATGTGTGTACTGTATCTGCCTTTCCACCACATTTTTATGACACTGTATTCCACTGCCTGCTTTTTTTTTACCTTCTTTCCCTAGGATTTGTCCTCTAACTTAGCGTTTGTGATTAACAGTGATACTAGGGCTGACCGCACATAAGAAGTCACAAGAGAAGAGCGGAAGGGCAAGAATTCAGAGCATTTGTTCATACGATGTGGCAACCTCTTTTGCATAGTGGCGTAGGATCCTGTTTGTAATGCTATCATAAATATTCTGTAGTTTTGTTTCCCCATTACCCCAACTGGAGCTATGAAACTTTTTATTGGATTCAGTCTTGTCTTTTGTCTAGAAAGAATTTTATCTTGTTGACGCATGAGCTGTTTAAAAATTATTCTATTAAATGTTGGTTAATAGTTGTGCAGTTTTTCTTTTCAGAAGAAAAGGCAATTCAAATGTTGCCTTTGTTTTCTGTCACCTTCCAACCCCTCAGCACTTCTAGTCAGATACAGATTCATCAGTGTATGCAACATCCTTTGTAATTTAAAATAAAAAAAGATGAAAAGGTTTTGAATTGTTTGCCTCATGTTTTCGCCCCTTCTCTGTTGCTTTTCTTTTGCTTACCAAGGTAACCATCTGCGCCTCTGCAAGATAACCCACTGCAAAGAAATTCCAGACTAAAGACAGCCGTGAACCGTGAATTGTGCTGCCCCCCTCTTGGTGCAGGACATAAAGAGCTAACATTTTGGACACTTTGGGCTGATTTTTCAGTACTCTAGTGAAATGTAGTATTCTGGAGAATTATTTATTGATGAAAACATTTGCATTCTTCATAGTTTGGAGCACGGTTTAGTTTACACGTATTTTTTCCTCTTTGATTCTTCGGTTAAGCAAGGGAAATAAACGGTTTTGAGTCTCTCCTGACTTAAACATTTGTATGTGTTTAATAATTCAAAGCAAGTCTCTGAGATAGGCTGGAATTATATACAATCTTCTTCTTTTTCTTTTTTTTAAAGATTTTATTTATTTGAGAGTGAGAGAGAGCACTAGCAGGGGGAGGGGCAGAGGGCGAAGCACTCTCCTCTGCTGAGCAGGGAGCCCAGGAACCTGGGATCATGACCTGAGCTGAAGGCAGACGCTTAACCAACGGAGCCACCCAGGTGTCCCCATATACAGAGAGTCTTACTTCAGGGGACCTGAGTGAACATCGCTGAAGCAGTGTGTTCCTTCAAATGCTAAACATTTGTTTAGCATATATTTTGCCAAGACTTGTGCTAAGTAGAGATACCCAGGAACTCACAATTTGCTGAGGGGAGGCAGCATGTGAATAAGACAAGAGCTGTTACACATGCAAAGGGTTCTGGGTACATTATTGCTGAGATGCTTGCAAGGACACAGGTACCACATCCAGTAGGGTATGCTAGAGAAGAATCAACAGGCTTGTGTTCATGACATCCCAGGATTCTTGAAGTTCTTTTTGCTTCATCTGAGTGACATTGGGGCTGAAGTGGAGATAGCCTCTCATGGACTTGACCTCCATCCAAACCACCCCTCACAGGAGCCTCCATCATGGTCTGGGAACTTTTAAGGAGCTGGGTGAGCCTGAGTGGCTCAGATGGTTGAGCGTCTGCCTTCGGCTTGGGTCATGGTCTTGGGGTCCTGGGATTGAGCCCCGCATCGGGCTCCCTGGTTGGCGGGGAACCTGCTTCTCCCTCTCCCTCCACTGTTCCCCCTGCTTGTGCTCTCTCGCTCTTTCTGTCAAATAAACAAAATCTTTGAAAAAAAGGAAACATTTTGTGGGTAGCACCTAGTTAAATGGGTTATTCAGTTGCCACTCCTCACCCATAGTGGTTCAGAA